CTATTAGTATTTTCCATTTAGCATGTCATTACAGTGCAGATTAATTACTTCCAATTGAAAGTTAGATGAACGCTCCTCAGTTGCACAGTAAATGAATTTTGAAATACGGAAAGTTCATTTGCACTTGGATTCATGTATGAAAAGCACTGAAGGAACTGTAGCCTGAGCTCATAGATTTGTGTAGAACAGGGGTCTCACCATTTTTAACACGGGAAGTGCATAAAGCAGCTTGACTTGACACTCTGACACTCATTTTCTAAGGTGCATTTCCACAACCGTGGGCAACTTTTAAAATAATACATAATTAGATAATATGCATACATCATATATAAAAACAAAGATTAAGTAAAGCACACAGTTGCCCTAGAAAATCTTTGGTACTGTGGTTTACAGCCCACAGACCAGAAGTGAGCTGATTGCTGAGACTTGTTTCCCGTAAATAATTTAGCTGTGTTTGTCATCTTTAACTAAAGTGCACTGATAAAGAAAAACCAGAGACCATTTACAAGTTCATGATCCTGTTTTTTCACTGAAGTGTGTGGAGGATTTAATGGATACTAAAGCATAACTATACTTATATCCAATGAGGAGAAATTTTCAAATCTCGTACACAGTATTGTATAAGCTTTTGGCCCTAAATGACATTTATCATGACCTGTTTCATTGTAACAGGATAGAAACTGATTCCAGGCATTCCTTTTTTAAAAATTAGTATATAGAACTTTTTCTTCCACACTTAAAAACTAGTTATATAATCATCTGGATATGATTTCTTGCAAATATTTTATTTTTAGATAAAATATTTATGGTGAGAAGTGTAACATTTATTTGAACAAATTATGACATATATGCAAATGTTTTTCACTCTCAGCTATTTATTTGAGAGATTGCTTCTCACCTGGAGGCGATTTAGTGCGTAGATGCCAAGTACGCTGCTTATGACAGGACTCCCAGCCCCACCCCAGCAAGGAACTGTCAGCAGTGCCAAGACTGAGAAAACTTGCCTTGGAGGATATACCATGTTCCAGTGGTTTGGCCATTACTAAAATATTCTGGAAAATACTCTTCCAGAATTGCCTATTTGAATATACTCATGGGTGGCAAATCTTCATTCCTTGTGAGGTATATTTTATTTTAGACTAATTCTCATGACTCACAGGGACAGTGTAATTCACTCATGGAATTCAGTGAAACGTGCAGGTAGATATTCGCAGACACTTGAATATATGCACACAAAATTCATTAATCATTTCCTACTAATTCAGAATTTGATCTGGTAAGAAAATGGAAAGTTTAAGCTTTACTTTTGCATCGTATTCAAAGATATTTATTTACTGACAACTAATATTTAAGGATGGATTTCACAACTTTGACTGTCACCTGACTCCCAATTTGGGAGGAAAGAATCAATGGAAAGTTCCTTTGATTCTTTTTTTTTTTTTTTTTGATTTTTTTTTTTTGATTCTTTTTTTTTTTTTTGATTCTTTGTCAGCTCAAAATTTAGGAAAGGAGGATCCTCAGAAATGTGGACAGAGCAACAATTTACAGCCTCAGCCCCCTCCCCCCACTCAAAATGTTAACTGAAGAACATATTGGCTAATTCTTCATGTTTTTTCTGGATATATCCCTTTTATTTAAATTGATGCTTTTGCCTTCGACCAAACAGATCTGGTCAAATTTACTATGACCCTTACTAGATAGAAATTCTGATTGATACTTAATATGGTATGGGTTTACCTTTTATATTCAAATAATCCAGGTCTACCGTAGTTTTAAAACTATAAAACCCTTGAAAACCAAGAATTTTTATAACTCAGCTGTTGACAAAACCTATCCTCAACTGATGTGAAGCTATTTATGCTTTTAATTTACCCACATAGTGTAAATTATTTGTACCCTTCACTACAGAACAGTATGTTTTACTTCAGAGGGCTTAGTAATACATGCATTATTTGTTGCCTTTCTAACATCTGAAAGTTTTCAAGTTTCAAATTAATGTGAAACCAATAGGATTATAATACTGTAGATGCTCTTATTTTACCAGTTTTTAAAAATGTTTTTGTTGAAGTATAGTCAGTTTACAATGATGTGTCAATTTCTGGTGTATAGCACGTGCTTCAGTCATATAGGAACGTACATATATTTGTTTTCCCATTCTTTTTCTCTGTAAGTTATGACAAGATATTAAATAAAATTCCCCATGCTATACAATATAAACTTGTTGCTTATCAGATTTTGTGAGAATCCGCCTGTATTTTGAAGTGAGAGACACTGCCAGATTGCAGTGGGTGTTCTGTGCGATGCAGTGGGTCTGTAGATGTAATTCTTGGTGGATTTGTGGGAGAGGGTGAGCTGTGAGTCGCACCAATCTGCCATCTTGTCTCAATAAATAATAGCAATTGTCAAAGTCACCATTATAGGGATTTTCAGATATTTTACTTTTATATATTAGGGAAGGGATCTAAAAAATGAGTATACCAGTGTTAAAGTGGGAAGAGAACATGATCAAGTAAATGATAAGAGAGGATGTGTATATTGCTAATATTTCTATGAAAAATGCTGTATGTCGTTTAGTAATCTTTTAAAATGCAAAATAAAGTTAGATATCATTCTCCCTTAAATCAGCAAGGATTTTAAAAAATGATGAGTCTAAACGTAATCAAAGGTGCAAGAAAACAGCTATTCTCATGGACTGCTTATGGGAAAAAATTATACAAAATGTCAAAAGCTATAAGAGAGCTCAAAAATTATGTCCATCGGCCAGAATGATTCTACCTCTTGAATTGAAAGTAAGTAAATATCTAACGTGCACCACAAAGATACATACATGGCTGCTTATCACTGCTTTGTTAAAAACAACTGAAATATCCATGAATAAAGGTTGATAAAATAAATTATTATAATCCTAGTAATCGAATATAAATCATAAAAGAATATATAGCTGCTTTAAAATATTCCAAATATAGTTTAAGTGAGAAATGCCAGAGTTACAAAACAATGTGTACAGCGTGAGCCCCACCCTCTTTATACTCAGTTGTGGAGGGTGTGTGTCTTGTTCTGTGTTCATATTTTGCTGTATTTACCACTTTCTTCAGTAAATATATTCATAGTAGAAAATTTTTAATGTTGTTTTACATTTTCTAAACAAAAACATGCATACACTACAGAGTGAAGAGTCCTCATGAATAACAAAATGAAGGAAACCTTCCTGAGGAATTTCAAGTCATTTTCTAATTGATTGTGTGTCCAAAAAAAGGATGGTACCTGTGTACACAAAGGGAAGTTAGAGGCGTTTGTAGCATTCATCCAATCCATAAGGCACTATGTTAGCAGAAAATAGGCCTGGTTTTTGAGAAGCATTACCTTTCTTTTTCAGAATTTTAGCCTGCTTTCTCTTTGTCTGAAATTTTGAAATATCTTAGGATTCCCAATTGCTGTTTCAGTAAATTGGGGAAACCGCTTTTCTCCCTGATTTCTCATTTCAGATATTAGCGCACACGGTGGAATTTTTGCCTCTCATTCCTGGTGTCCAGCTCTCAACATCTTAACCTGGCAGGAGGACCAAACTAGCTCTAAATCTTGCCACCCAGACCACACTTGATTATTGTCTGATGGGAAATTAAACGTGAATAAAACAGCCTAGAGCATTAGGGTGTTCTTGGAAGAATAAACACAAGCTGGAAGTCTTATGTGGATAGTGCAAAGTACAGGAAGGCAATCAATCATGTAAACATCAAATGAAAGGGTGGTAAGGAAGTCATTGGAGTCTGTCAGGCGCTCCCTGCAATAAATGGCTTATTCCATTTCTTTCCCTTTCACTCACTTTAGAAAAGTGAATTCTGTGGAATCTCTAACAGAACCTACAACGTTTTTGTAAGTTCTTATTCCTGTTTAAAGATGTGCTTTGAGCAGAATGAGCGCCACCCATTGAAGGGGGTTTTTAGTTTATAGAAAATGGACACAAAAAGGTCACAGTGCACACCTCCCTGACTCTTGTTTCATCCTCTCACAAACAGGAAACTGTTAAGGCAGCAATAATAGAAGAGCAGAAGCGTAGTGAAAAGGCTGTGGAAGAGGCAGTGAAGAGAACAAGAGATGAATTGATAGAGTATGTAAAGGAGCAGAAAAGGGTAAGTGTTCACTGGAGGGTTTTAATTTGTGCTTCCATAAACTGGAACATTCGCTTCCATCCTGTGACATGAAATTTTAAAGTACTAGAATGTCCTTTGTCATCTAGTTTAGGAATTTTTATCTGATCATTTTTCTGATATAATTATATATTCTAATAGTTATGTCTATAAACATAAATTCCATCTGTGAACAAAAAAAGTACACTGAATAATTTCTTGCTAGACTCCTAAAAAGGACCTATAGCATTTCCAATGTAACTTTACACCTATGAAGAAAGTAGACAGTTGTATATTTTTAGTGTTTTTGCCCTAAGTTTGTTATTTCTTACAATACTTGTTGAAATTTTTATGCAATCTTTTGGCCTTCTGACTGTGTTAACAGCAGGGTGGTTCTAATAGACTTGATTCCAGTTATCAAATAAAGGCTCTTCTGCCATAGTTCCATTTCAAAAACAGGATTCAGATTATGCTTATCAAAATTCAGAGTACATGTTGAAGCTTTACAAAATAAATGACATTTCAGTACAATATGGTTTTACTGTGAGTCTGAGCAGTGGCTGAAAATAATGGGTCAAACTTAATTTGTAGTCTTTTCAACAGATCTTTATTCTTCTTAAGTAGTGACCAAGATGAGAAACACCTAAGATGAGATGTTTAATGGTAATCTCTGTAATAAGCATATTGCATTACAGTCTATTATGTAATGAATTATATGGTAAATTTTCTCACATGAAATATTTTATATCTTATTTATATGTTTAGTATAACATGTTCTGTATTACAAAGTAATATATTTAAGGACTGTATGTTATACAGTATATAATATTAGGTGTAAATATATAATATACATATAAATAGATTTTGTGATGTTTATCACATGGTACCTAACATAATAAAAATATAAATAAAACATAGTACGTATGAGGATATTTGATACATAACATCTAAACTTAATTAATTGTGGTCAAAATGCAAATAAAAGATCATTCTGCACTTTACAGTGAAGTAGAAAGCTAGGAGTGTAGTAAAAACTCTGACATTTTAGTTCCAGACTCTTGATCTGAGGTCAAGCTTGGCAGGATACAAAGAAAATTCTCACCCCTCAGAAGCTACCGTTAGGTTTCAACACAGGTGGTTGTCAGCAGAGTAAAAAAATCGCTAAGTAGGCTTTGCAGATAAATTAATCACTCACAGAAACATTTTATATGGGATTTAATCTCTGTGCACGTTATCTCAAAGCGTTTTTTATTTATTTATTTGTTTGTTTATTTTTTATTGAAATATAGTCCGTTTACAATGTTATGTCAATTTCTGTGTACAGCACATTGCTTGTCATACATGAATATATATATATTAATTTTCATACTCTCTTTTACCGTAAGCTACTACAATAAGGTTCCCTGTGCTACGCAGTATAAACTTGTTTATCTACTTTATATATACCAGTCAATATCTGCAAATCGCGAACTCCCTAAAGCAGTTTCTCCCAAATTCCCAATAGGTCCCTAACCTTTTGAAGAGAAAATTCTGAGCCGAAAAATAGTCAATTGACTTTTCAGAAAGTGATATACTCCCAGAAAATTCCGATTTCCATATGTATTCCCCAGGGAGTTTTGTGTTAAATAACCCGGTTCAGAAGTAGTCATGCAACAAAGGAATTATAGATGCTTTCCATGTGCAGACAGAAATTGTGATAGAGAACACACTTGAAATAAATTCAAGAAGTCTTGTGGCTGTCTCCTTTTTTTAATCATCTTTTTTCAATACTATATAGCCAGTTCTTATTCGAGCACTTCATTTAGACAAGAAATTATATTACACAGCAAACCTATTCATAAGATTATTTTAGATTAATATTTCTTTGATCACAATGGAATATTTTTCTTTGAAAAAAACTTAAAAATCATATATTACTTTTTCTTCAAAAGAAATTTGTGGCTGCCATATGAAATGTTTAATATGAGAGCAAGAAGTGCCTTTATAGGAGTTATCTGGTCCCTTTTTAAGGTAAATTAACCCTTGAAGAGAACTGACAATGAACTCTGCCATGTAGTCTGTGTTCTTGCAAATCATATTAAAGGATTTGTATTCATTTGTGTTAGGTAAACCAGTTGTCTCCTGTAGAAATGTTCATTAAATGGCAACAACAAAATCATGATAATATTAGATTCTGTTTGCACCTAAGTTCCACCTCCATGCTTGTTCCTTTAGATGTTAAGAACAATCAGTTTAATACTTACCTTACAGAACTGCTGTGAGTTAATACATGTAACAAAATAGAACAGCTGGAGTCTGGATTCAGTAAATACATGCTGTTACGAAGATCATTCTCACTGCGTTATTAAAGAAAAACGAAAATGCCTAGTAGCATTATTTTTGCTAATGAGAAGTGTGCTTTTCAGATTAACATTTGGCATTCTGTTTCCTCTCACGTTTACGATGT